ATCCTGTACGTAAGTTCGTTTTCTGACATTCTTTGGCTATAAATAGATCGTAAAGCTACACTTCCACGTGCAGCACAATGTTTTCTTCGAAAGACCAGTTCTCACATTTCCAGCTTCTCACACTGACACAAACCCGCAATCCCACACGAAATATCAGATATCAAGTATCGTCAAATCAAGTGTCAATAATTATGCAATTATCACGAACAGATCGACCCAACACCTTCCACAACGCGTAATATAATTTATCGTGATATCGTATTCAACGTGATAAAAATTATAACAAGTGAACTCCCTGCTAAAAATTTTTTTTAATTATTTTCTTGCATTTTGCAATACTACATTAATCCTTCCTATTACGCCAAAAAAAAAAAAATGTAAGTTCCAACGTTACAAATAATAACTTATTTCTATACGCCTAGGAAATAATTAAAAAAAAAAAATAAAATAAAATTGTGATCTTATTTAACATATATCGAGTTGAGAAAAATGTGAGCGTTAAAGGGTTATTAAGATGAATTTTCACTCTGCAACTTCGACTCGCAATAACCTATTTCAATCGTAATTTCGCTCCAAAAAACACAAGTTCTTATCGCCTCTCGGTTTATGCGTCGAATCACTATAGAATCGATAAGCGGGGGAAAAAATTGTGCAGTTCCACGAAGGGTCCCATTCCCCGTAATCTCGACAGAATCTTGTAACACACTGTTATTTATAGACGCGGCTGAATTGCGCTACCCGGTAGAAAATAGAAGCGTGAAAGTTGAACGTATTCACGAGGATTTTCACGGCTTTAATTTTCTAAGCCCGTGGCAGACGCGTGTAAGTACACGTGGGGATGATGCGCGCACACGCGATTCGTCTTTGCCAAATAGGGAACACCATCTGCATACACTTTGCACGCCTCGTTCAATTTATACGTTGCTTTCCCGCATTAATACCTGTCTTCCTGTAAACTTCTCTTTAACATTGTATCTGCTGAACAAAAAGGGGATAGCCCACGTTCGTACTAATCGAGAATCTTTTTGACTTGTTCGTTTCGGATAAATAGAATACAGTATAGGAGCTTTTGTAACGCGGGAAATTCAAATTAAGTTCCACCGAGATCGCTTTTTTGGGTGTTGGCACAGTTTCTTTATCGGTTGTATTTCCTTCAGCTTTACAATTTGTATGTTCCTTTCTTCTTCTTGAATCATGTCAACCAGTCGGATCCTTGTTTTTAACGAGCGAATAAAAGTCACGTCCCCTGAACCATGTTGGGTTAATTTACCTTGAACATTATCCATCTGCAAATATATTATTTAAATAGAAATGCACTTTAGAATGGTGTATCTTCGTTTATTGTAATGAGAACAGATCCGGATAAAAGAAAACTTTATTTAGTTTTGAAACCGCTGGGATTAATTTAACCCCACGTGATTCGTTACTAAATAACGTATAATTCAGTTAATTTTGATTATTTTCACTTTAAAAAAATGGTGAATATTCTTAAAACGTGAATAAATATGTGTGCAAAAATCGATAGTAAAAAGTCTTACAGTTTCTTTGTGAAAAAATCTGAAATGTCTTGATAAATCTGAAAAATCTTCAATCTAACCTAAAAAATGACACTCTAGGCTAGAATACCACCTTAAATGAGGACTGGTTCGCTTGAAGCTAGATTACCCACATACTTAGAGGAAACAGGTTGGAAGTGACCTTTATTTGATTTTGAGGAGCAGCAAAGTGTGTATACTTCTAACTTTCTAGGTGCAAATACATCTCATGGGTCAAATCGACAAACTGGCAATTTTAAAATGTTGAGTGTGACTCACACTCGATAAAGGAGTTCAAAGTGTTAATACTTTCGTTTAGATTGCACTTTTCGTAATACACTGTTATGCATGGTTCGTTAAACCGTCTTCAAATGAAAGCGGACGCATCAACAAGTTGGTCAGTGTTACTGTGTCTCTGCACAAGCTGCTTTAAAACGCAGCACGACCGTTGTCTCGATTCCGGAAGATCGAATGGATTCGAAAGTAAAAAATTCATTTTCGACATTACCGACAGACGATTGACACGCTACGATGATCGTAGAAAAAGTGTTCGATTTCACGATGGTAATGCGAAAGATCTCGTCGATAATTAAGTGTCTCTTGTCTCCGCAAGTAAATAAAAGAAAACGACAAAAGAATGTTGAGAAAATTATTACGATTTCTCAGTACGTGATTCAGTTCCGAGATTAACCTGTGTAACGAAGTGAAAGAAAAAAAAAATACACAGTGGCCGTGAGTTTCACTTGTCTTGTATTGCGATACACACGAGCGTAAAAAGATGAACGGTGCCTGCACGCCGTGTTCGCACTCGTTTTCACTGGGGCTAACATATTCCAGGCTGAAGTAGGTTTCTAGGTTGATTTCAGTAAATCTTTTTTTCGTCGACGCTCCATCGATGGTGCTAACGGTAAAATCACGGATACGTGGCGATCTCTACACGTAATCTCATTTATCGACATATTTTAGCTTTTTAGTCTTACATCTGCGATATTTAATAACACAAGTTTAGATATATTTGGAATTTTTACATGATTCTCTGTGTATCATTTATTTCGTCTGTATAAAAATAACATAATCAGTGACTTATTAAAAATTGTAGTTTTTTTAATATTTTATTTTTAACATATTACATGACAGATCAAAATAAATCGAAACATTTCAACAATTTGTTGAACAAATAATTCCAACATATAGTGTATTCAAAAGTATTAAATAATTTGAATTTATTTCACTTTACCGTTGCTTGGAATTTCTTACATATTTCAATTATTCTGATATGGTTAGTACTTGATTTTGACTCACTTCGAATTCTTTCTTTTGATTCAATTGTCCACTCAAACAATATGGCGTAAGTTAATTTCGTTGGTGCGAAGAATATGACGTTAAAATTGTTTCCTTTTCATTATCAATTGAAAACGTTGAAAGGGCCGAGGCGAATTGGATAATCGACATATAGGGTTGGCAAGATTGATTCGATCTTGAAACAACGCAAAGTGCAAAGCAGTTGATGGTTGTTCATGTACCGGCTGCCAATTACTCTGGTTATTCCGGTACGTCGGTCTGAGCGCTCTCACTTTTTCCTATCCGTCATCGCAGTTCGAGATGCGACCGGCGTCTTCTGCCACAGAAGCTTTCGTTACGTAAAAAGGGATTTCGTAAATCGTCTCGACATCCTGACGGAACAACGCCGTGCCATTCGTCGTCCCCTGAAGTATCGATGCCTATATTTATTTGATGTGCGTTTCAAATTTACAAACGTCCGTAAAGAGGCGACTGTCAGTCGAGCTTATTTTCATTGCGCGATACCGACGACGTAACCCACTATTTAAGTAAACAGCAGAGTCCTCGCGCAAAACGGAAGTTTGCAGTGCATGTAATCGTAAAAATTATAACGTTTGTGTGACGAAGATAGTGTCGATAGGACCCAAAGTATTATTTCGTGTTATTTTGTACGTATTCTCATATTTTCTACAATGTGAAAAATAATTGTGACGAAACGATTTCAAAGGTTCGAAAAAAATGTTTTTATTCGAGATTTTCTATTTAGCTTTTTTTATATATTTATAGCTTACGAAGATAACATGTAAAAAGAGTGTAAATGCGATTGTCAGCTGTTATTTTAGTTATGTGTGTTAGTCAGTGGATATTTAAACCTGAGTAAAGAAAAATTTTAATTGAAAAATATTACAGTTAAGATGAAACATTTGAAATTAAATTGAACATCCCCTCATTCTGTAGGGGGTTGAAGTAATTACGTGTCTAAACGTGTTTCTGTAGGTAATATCATTTTGTTCCCGGAATGTTGACCTAGACATTTCTATTTGTAATCAGCACAGATCCCTAGAACCAGATGCATAAAATGACGGAAGCACTTCTTCGAGTCAGAACTGTCTGTTTCGTTTGGCATCGGCACAAAACGCTTGTGCCAAAGATGAAGAGAAAATTCGTCTTTGTTCGGCGCTAGTTGAAATTGTTCGAGTATCACAGTCACCGAGATCACGCGCAGCTAGCGCCACCGATAAATTTAAAAGATATCTCTCGAGGCGGCGTTCGTTTTTTCTTTCTTTCTTTCTGAGTACTACTTCCGTTTTCGTTATTTCGCAGACTTTAATTAATTTAGTCAACTCATGTAGCTACATTTAACATCAGTTTTTATGTTAATTTTTTCTACTTCTTTTTGTTATGATGATTGAATATCAATTCTCTTGCACACAATTACCATATGTAAATTATTGTTTAATAGTACAACACGTGTACGCCATAAAAAGAGATTTTATGTTAGAATTTGAATAAAGGAAACATTGATTTTTTTCCATCTTTTTTTGTAACGTTTGTTAATTCATTCTGTCACAGCTTATCGTGTTTTCAATGAAAGTACTGATTAATTATCAAAGAATAGATTACTAGAATTTTCTAGCGTATGGCATGATGTGTGTACGTGCATATACACATACTATATTCTGGTTTGCTATAAGCTTTACTGCTCGCTAATCGATTCTACTCGAGCTTCGAGATGTCGACTAATGTCATTATGACAACGCAGGTCCTCTGGAATTTGCGTAGTCGAACAAATTTTTTCTCAGTGAAAGAAATTTAGTTTGCCGTGTATTCGTAATGAATTTTCGCGAAAAAGTTTTACCACAACTGTGCAAGATTTTCCGAGTAAGGATTATAAGTATTTATCACATTCGTGAATACTTACGTAAAATTTGACACGTGTCGAGCACTTACAACAACTTGTAATCTTTTCTCTACAGCAAAGAAAACGACAATATCTTATAATGTCCCAAAACAGAAACTTCATTACACTCGTAAATTTATCATTTTACGTTGTATATTTTGAAATAATTGGGTCAAACATTTTATGTGGTCGACTTAACCTTTATTTTTATCAAAAGAAATAAATACTCTATGCAGACAGTAGTTTTAAAAAATTAAGATTATATTTATATATTTGTGTTGCAGTTTCCTGGTGAGTGCATCCTCACATACATGGAGTTTCAGCTGGATAGTGCAGAATACTGCCAGGCTCAACACAAATAGAGAGACACGCCCAAACACCCTGCAACCTGCTAGGTATTATTAAAGAAAGAGTAAGGAAGAACATCTTAATCAGGCAAAAGGAAATTTTATAATATTGGGATCATTGCCTCAAAGTCAGAAAATCATCAGCTAGTCATCACGCAAAACATAGAAGAATTACCTAGAATCAATTGTTAATTTACAATATTAAATGCAAGCATCGTAGCTACTGAGCGCACCTGATCCAGGCGCACCCAGTGCCAAATAGGTAACATTTAATAGCAGTATTTTTATTATATCACTGTTCAAATTTTCAAAGATAGTCATTGATATCTTCTTTCAGTTAATCTTCCGAATCATAGTCAAGGATCCCAGGTGGGAATCAATCGCATATCAACAACGCCTAATGTAACGTAGCCCTCACCCTTTCAGCTAAACTTGCACCTTTATAACCTTTCTTGAGGTCTACATGTGAACCCATTGTTCTGTCCTCTGTAAAAAAATAACAAAGTATTCAATTAGTTAAATGAGAAACAACTTTATAAGACTGACATCTATGGGCTAAGTTGTTAAATTCAGCCTTTGTTGCTTCATATAGTGTGGCACATTGCAAAAGTAAAGAGAAACAGTGTCGTACAAAATCATTAAAGAAAACTAAAAATTAAAACGATAAAAAAGTAAGAGTACACCGCTTGTTGTCCAAGAGGAAATGAGCAACATGAGGGTGAAGGACATTAGGCCAGAGCCCGCCGAGATCGAATACAAAAATATGAAGTTCCTCATTACTGATCGGCCCAATGATCAGACCATTCATACTTTTATTCAAGTACATATCTTGCTTTCATTCTCAATTAAACAGTTAGTGAATTTTACATTTAAATTATTAAATTCTTTTGTTACTTCAACAGGAACTGAAAAAGCACAATGTCAAAGAAGTAGTGAGGGTCTGCGAACCAACGTACAAAGTTGAGGAACTTAAAGCAGAAGGGATCAATGTCATAGACTTGGTATTTGATGATGGCACATTTCCACCAAATGAAGTAAGTACCGTCATTTTAATATTGCTTTAAGTTACCTGATAAAAATCATTTAGTTTTAACAAATGGATTGTTATTTTAGGTCATCGACGAGTGGTTTGAATTACTGAAAAATCGATTCCGTGAATCTCCTGATGCATGTGTGGCGGTCCATTGCGTCGCAGGACTTGGTAGAGCACCAGTCTTGGTTGCACTTGCTCTTATCGAGCTTGGACTAAAATACGAGGATGCGGTTGCGTTAATCAGGGAGTAAGTACATACTCAACTTGTACAGTGTAAATCACTGGTACATAAAATGATTATAAAAATGCTGTTTATTTTTCCAGTAAACGACGAGGCGCCATCAACTCCAAGCAGCTGGCCTATCTTGAAAAATATCGTCCCAAGTCTCGGTTGAAGCTCAAAAATGGACAAAAGAACTCCTGCTGCGTCCAATAGATCAAACGATTTCTTTGAAAAGTTACTAATTCATACTGATTGGTATACCTAATTGTATAGGTTTTCGCGCCTGGTAACAAGAGACATACTGTATCGAATCTGTTCTGAAAGGCCTATCAATGGAAATGCAACCGAACTACTTATCAAACAATTTTAAAGGTATACAGACTGTTTAAAAAAAGGAGTTTAGGATTTATAAGATAAATAATGTTCGCTAAACTGAGTAAAGATATTTCACGAATATGAACCAAAAAATCAACTCTGTCAGAGTTTGAAGTGATTTTCAATGTTACGTGCATACTACTTAATATGAGTGATTTACCTGATTTTACTCATTATATATGGAATAAGCACAAAAAATGATCTCACTATATTCTTATTTTCATGTTTACAAAATATGTTCTATGTATCTTCCTTCCATTTTTACGCACACTCCATTCCTTCGTATTACAAAATCCCGAACTTTTTCCAAAATTGTTGATTTGGTTTTTAATCATTTAATAAGCATCTTTGATCCATTGATGGTATTCTTGTAGATCACTTATCGGTAAAGAGTATACTTACATAGAACATTTATTTGTAAACATCAAAGTACGTATACGGTCAACTAATTTTTTGTTTTTATTAAATATATGATGAATAGAAACAGGAAAGTTACTCCTAATACTAACATTAAAGCTTACTTCTACCTCTAACAAGGTTGATTTTAGGCTCATGTTTATTAAACATCTCTTACTCCTTTTAACAAATACTATCTACCTTATAAGTCTTGAATTCTTTTTTGAAAGCATTCTGTATTTTACACTGTTTGACTCTTCAGCAAAAATGAAGCAATGAAAAGAATAAATAAATCGCTTATAATCATTTGCACTCTTCTTTTATGAAAGTTTTGTACTTATTTTTGATACTAAATTAATATTAAATGCTGTAGAACAGGAAAAGCTTTCTGCTCATGATACGAATAGTAATGAAATTCGAATGGATCTGATCGTTTGTATAATGAAAAAAATTGGATCAACTTATGCGTTTTATCACAATACTTAGTGCCTCATTTAAGATTATTGTGTACAAGTATTCTAGAAGGCTGCATTTACTTGGTCCAATAAAATGAAATATGCAATATATTATTAATTAATTTGCGAACATTAGTTGATATGTTATTTATGCGAGATACTTTAAAGATAGTTAGAGCAAGCACTTTTGGATTAGCATGATTTCTAATAAAGATGGTTCCTTTGGCCGTCATCAATCTTAGCTCTTTAGAGAATTAGTGCAATAAATACTTACGTTTTCCAGAATGATTGAATGCAAAAAAATGAATAAGTGTCTTATCAATAACAGTTTTTAAATAATGTAACGTATTTACTTTCAGATTGTGATTAAGTGCACATTTTTTGCAGATGTTGTGCATATAACATAAATGAACAGAAACAAAGCCAAGATTTGTATGCGAATTTTTCCGCAAACATTGGAATGGTATACCAAAAACATGTATCTTCAACAGTGTGGTTTATACATGTTATTTGCTTCCAAAGAATAAAATTTGTACAATAATGTATTAGTTTGCTTGAATTTATAAACATAGATAATCTGCTATGATCAATTGTCATTAACCAATGTACACATTATATTGCAAATATTCTTCAAGCATTGCTTTCTATTTTGTACCATTGTCGTAAATTCTAAACTCAAATTTGATATATGTAATTAGCAACAAATGTTAAACTGCGACATATTTTCATATACTTACCACACTTGTAAAGAAAATACAAAAATTTGTATAAAATAAAACGATTTACATAAGAATTCACAGGTACTTCAGATCTTTGTGTGTTAATTTTTAAACAATGATAACACAGATAAAAGGAACTTTGCGTTGCATTTCCAGTGGCATGCCGAACTGATGAGTGTTCTTAACTCTTACTGGACTTGGAATCTGCGTTAACTTGAAATAACGAATATTGCGAAACAAAGTGAAGAAAAAATCACTCCAGAGTTATATATCACTTTTATCGTAGCTTAACGGCAATTTCACCAAAATTTTTTAAAACATCCACTTTTATTGAATAAATTTTAGAAGCTGCATACACGTTTTGTGTGAAGCATATATTGTAATCGTACTCGCAATTTTGGTAAAATTGTCGGTGATGCTGTACGCCACACTAAACTGTGTTCAAAAGATAGAAAAAAATTCACTTCTAAACTAATAAATGTAATACTTAGTACATTTCATGTGTCTGCCGATTTAACGTGAATGTACGTTTCCGTATGTATTATGATACGTGAATTGTGTTTGTGATCATTTCTCGTGCTTATGTAGCACAAGCTGTTTACAAGAGTGATGTGAATTATTATAGTCGTTGTTTGTATTTTTTTCCCACGATTAATGTGTAAGACTTGCAAATGACGTTTTTCTACGAAACTTGACTAATAGTGAATTTAATTGCACGATAAGCCAATGACAAGATTTTCGTCTTATTTGTGCAGAATCTTTTATTATCATGTGTACATTCACTGTAATCGCAGACTCGAAATGAAATTTGAACCTGGTACAGCTCCTTTTTTGTAATGTTAAAAAAACTGCAATATTTTTTACCAGAGGATGGGACAAGGGACATTCGTAAAAAAAAAAACTTATCGAGCCTTAGGTCCAAAATTGAATAATTTTATAATTATTCAATTTTTTTTTTTTTTTTTTTAGGTTATT